TTCTCTGAACTAGAATTCTCTGAACTTGCATCTTTTGTTTGATAAAAGTTACTGTAGAAGTATTATATACTTATTATTTATATAATAAACAAACACACACACACACACATGTGTGTTTGTTTATTATATAAATTATATATACATATATATATATATATATATATATATATATATATATATATATATATATATATATATATATATATATATATATATATATATATATATATATATATATATATATATATATATATATATATATATGTATATATATATATATATATATATATATATATATATATATATATTAAATGGATTCTAGTAAAATAACTAATAATAAAATATGAAATTTGCCTTGGCTATTCTGTTCGTAAATTAGACATACAATGTCTAACTTTCTTAACGAAGTGCACCAACTAGAAGGTAAGCCATAGGACTTTGCACCTCATATCTAAGTTGTAATGCTGCCTAAGGTTAGATCTCCAATTCTAAATTCTTTCCAATGTTTATTAGGCTTAAAAGTATTGTTAAACTGTAAAAGTATTGTTATTGACAAAAAAAAAAGCCCTTCATTTCTGGATTCTTTCCTTTATATTTTTGTTACTAATTGCATAACTGCAATTATTATTGCAATAACAATATAATAATATAGTGATATATTCGAAAATTATTATATTGTATTATTTAAAAAAATATTTTCTTATTTTATACTACTATATATAATAAATAAAAATTGATTTGAACAGTCTCACCATCTATAGGATCCTCAAGAAGCTATTTTATTACATTTTTGTTTTTTATGAAAATCAAGCACTCCTAATGTAGCATACACTAACAAAATTTACACACATATATAAATTTTTTATTTAGTAGCTAAAATTGTATTCTCCATCAGTAGGTTCATCAGGAAGCCATGATCCTGATGAACCTACTGATGGAGAAACATTATGTTGAAGAAATCTAAAAATTAGATAAGTGTTTTTACTAATTTAAATACACACACACACGCACACACACACACACACGCACACACACACACACAAACATATATATATAAATTAGAATAATATATATATATATATATATAAATTAGAATAAACTGGAACTTTTAATGTCATTTTATTTTCAGCAGTATTATCAGGAAGCTACTTGATGATCCAGCTGAAGGAAATCCAGCTGAAACTGACAGTAAAATATTTGACATAAATGTGAATCAGAAATTCAGAAAAAACAAATAAAAACAAATAAAAAAAATCTTACTCATCAGCTCGTGTATAGCATGAAAAACTACCATTATGAACATTAGAGGATTAGTTAGCACATAGTTAATTCAAACAGCTAAAATACACAAAATAAAAGATAAGAAAAGCGTAAACAATACAAGAAGTTTTTTAAAATTGGTTCATGTAAAAAATAAAGGACATGATAAAATAACATAACAAATTTTTCAAAAATGTAACTAAATTAAACTTCAATACAAATTGTTTCAAGTTTAAAGCATAAACTGTTAAAAAAAATTTTTCAATTTAAGTCAAAAATCTAGTAAATAAAATAGTAGATTCTCATTAAATATACTAGAATGTCTAAATAAAAGAAAAAGAGAAAATAATAGCATAATCTTTTGAGAAAACCTATCGTAAATAACTCATTCAACTAACAAAAAAAGGAAAACTGGAACTAAAATAAAAACAACTAAAATAAATCAAAGCTTTACTAAAAGTAAACTATTAAATAATACACAACAGACATTTTCATGCATTAACTTTATCTGAATATGTGTTTGTGACTGCTTCACATCTATTAAACTGAATAATTTTTCAAATCCAATATTAGAGGAACATTAACAAACATTAACAATTGTAGAACTTTCACATTTATTAACTGTACTTTCTAAATATGATCTTGGAAATGATGTAAAATGCTTAGCTTTGAAGCAATTGTGTAAATGCTGGTGCATTGCAGATTGATTGTACGAAATGGATGCAACATTTTGTCCCATACAAATATCTACTGCAATTGCAATTGCAAACAAATTACAGTCAATTCCTCCAACTTGTTGCTGACATGATTGTTATTGACACATAACTGTATTTTTAGAACATGATATAACTGAAGCAATTTGTTTTTGTACGTGCAAAGTTGGCATTTCTGTCTTCATTGAGTCATAAATTTTAACGACTCTATCGCTGCAACCAAGTGTGCTAATCAACAACCAGTGAAGAGATCCGTCATGCAAAATTTGTAGCATCTCCTGTGACTGTATACGGAACATGAGATTTGTTCCTAATAAGGTGTCTTGCATACCTTGAATATCAGGAAATTGATTTTTTAATATTACTTGAGCAGCATTAATTTCAATATCTCCTAACATGTTTTGATTCAATATACTCTCAAATGCTGATATTGGTACACTAAATGTAATGCTATTTTTGGATGAATAAGTATCAATAGAGTCAATGTTTTTAATATAAAATTGATTTTGTGATGATGTTATTTGACCAGGTTCAGATTTTTTGACTGTATTTGTTGCAGGGTAACTACTGTATGACAAATCTAAATGAGTTGCTTCTAAATGTTAAATATTAGTTTCTATGTCTTGACATGGATAATAAGGTTTAAGCTGAGAAACGTTTACTTTTGTTTTTAAAATTTCACCATTAAGGTTTTTTAAAGTGCATCGACCTTTTATGTTTAAATCAGCTAGAGTATATGGTCCCATCCACTCCTTAGATAAAGACTCACCTTTGCGATCTCGTTTTCTTGCATTTAACTTCATCACTTGATCATTTATTTTAAATGTAAATGTCTTTATACCCTTTTTTGCAACTTTTTTCATATGTTGCTTACACTGCTTTTCTTGAGCAATTTTTATATTTTCCCTAACTTTTTACTCAACAGCCTCACAATCATTAACTAACTTTTCTACTGTAGAGTCAGATATTTTTTCAAGAAAACTACTATTTAAAGAATCATCAGTCTCATTTAGAACATTTATCATCTCAATACCTGGAGGATGTCTTAAATACATTAGATAAAACGGAGTCATCTTTGTAGATTTCTGGCATGATATGTTCAGTCCATAAGCAATTGCAGATGTGTAACTAATACAAGTCATTAAAAAAAATTATTGTAATAATAAATTATAGTGTATATATAAGGAAAATGAAATAAGAATATAGATTACTAAACCTATCCCAGTCATTCATCTCATTATTAGTATGCTTGCTTAAAGCACGTTTAAAAATTTGATTTGTACGTTCATCTTGACCATTACTTTGAGGACGGTATGCTGATGTCACAGAATGTTTAATACCCATTAATTGAAAAATTTTATTGTTAAGCTATACATAAAAAATAATAAAAAAAACTAATAAAATAAATTTTCAATAACACAAAGAAAACAAAAGTTTTAGAAACTTTTTTAGTCTTTACCTCATTCACAAATTCTCTTCCTTGATCTGTAATTACTTATTTTGGTGGACCATAAGTATGAAAAGTGTTAACTAAAGCAGTAGCTACAGCAGCAGCAGATTTTTCAGGTAATACTCTAGCAACAATCCATTTTGTAAACAAATCTGTTATTGTTAAACATATTTATTGCCATTCACTGTTTCCGGTAATGGACCAATTAGATCTACTCCTAAAACTGACCAACTTTCTGTAACCTGAATTGGGTGTAGTTGTGGCGCAATTGTTTTTATTTTTTCAAATGATTGACATTGTTTACATGTCTTGATCTATAATAGACTATATATTATTTAATTAGAATAATACAATTTATAGTGTATATTATTATTGCAATATTGCATTTAAATTTTATATTAATAATGATAGTTACATGTTTATTATTTTTATATTATTAAGAAAATAAACATATAGCCTTCGTAAAAAGCAAATAGTACTTAACCCATGCTTCAACATCAGATGTAATTGACATCCAATAGTACAAATTTTTAATTCTATTTTGAGTTCTTACTATTCTCTGGTGTGCCCCACCAGCATCATTATGACATTCTTTAAGAACCCTTTTTCTTTCTTCTTGACTATACAAAACAAGTCGTAGAGATTCATCTTGAATATAGTACAAACGTCCATCTAAAAGTTTAACCAAATTTTAAAACTTAGTTCAAACATATGTTAAAAGCCTAAACATAAAACAAAATATTTAAAACTAAGTCGAAACTATTAGATACTGTGATATTGCAATATTGTTATTATATTTAGATTATGTATATTGTGTTCCATTATATTTTAGATATAATAAAAACCTTACTACTAAATTACTTGTATTAGTCTTGATCGGGTCTACTACAGATACCAAATAATTAAAATTCACTTGCCTATTCCTTTAAAATTTCTTGCAGCTATTCTGAGCCCACGTTTTTCACTGTTCAAAACAGTATTTGCATACTTTCCTTCTAATACGTATTGTCTTATCTCTTCGAAACGTAGCTCTTGAGATTTTGCATTGATCTTAGGCATTGCTTAAGAAAAAATATAAAAACAATATATCATACTTGGCATGAAAGTTATTAATTTATTTATTAAAACCTAATGTAAATTTAAACTCACTTCTAATCAGGATAGGAAGAAAATTTACGGGTGTTGTTGTTTAGTTTGTATGGCGTAGTTTAGTTATATCGGGTGGCCTCTTTAACCAATCGGCGACTCGGAAATAAATTTATGGGGGAAATAAATTTGTACGACACCGGCACTAATATATATATATATATATATATATATATATATATATATATATATATATATATATATATATATATATATATATATATATATGTATATATATATATATATATATATATATATATATATATATATATATATATATATATATATATATATATATATATATATATATATATATATATATATATATATATATATATATAATCAGAATAGGTATAAAAATGAATAAGTTTTAAAATTATATTATTAATGTTAAATAATGAATTTTTAATTTTTTTAATATTTTGAAACAGGATTGGAACCAAGATAAGCTACCAGAAACAAGTGGAGATGGTTCATTTCAAACTTCTTTACCTATTATTCTTTTTCAAATGCTTGATCAGAATGTAAGTCACTATATAATATAAATTTTAAAGTTGTAATAAATTTTAGTTGATACTTTCAAACACCCTTTTTTTTTTTCTAATTTGCATTCACTCCCAACAAGGCTGCAAGCAACCACTATTAAGTTGGGAGTTTCTAGGAAAAAGAAAAAGAACAGAGTTATAAGGAAACGGTTGACAGAAGACTTAAAACGTTGAAGGTTGTATGAGTCAGGAAAGCATGAAGATGGGAGAGAGTTCCAAAGAATTGAAGTGCGGGGAAAAAAACTAGATGAATAAAAGTTTTTAGAGCATGCAAAGACAGATACAGTAAACGAATGAGACTTAGCTGAATGACGAGTAAAACAAGAATGAATTTTAGTTGATGGAACTAGAGATGATAACTCCTTTGAGCAGTGACCATGATAGTATTTGTAGAAAAGAGAAAGAGATGCAACTTTACGACGATGGGAAAGAGATTCAAGCTTAGCAGATAGTCCAGTTCCAACAACATTTACAATGCGCTTTTGGACCTTGTCAAGAAGAGAAAGTGAATCGTTAGAAGAACCAGCTCAAATATGACAACAGTATTCCATACAGGGACGAATAAGAGATTTGTAGAGGTAGAGAATGGAATCAAAAATAAGGAAATGGCGAGCACGATAAAAAGAAGCAACCTTAGCAGAAGCTAATTTAGCAATTGATTGTATATATGGTTTCCATGAAAGGTCAGTAGTAAGCGATAATCCAAGAAGACGTAAAGAGGAGGACTCAGTAAGAGGATTGCCATTCATTAATATAGGAATGTTGACCATATTACAGTAGTTGTTTGCAGTAAGCAACTGGGTTTTTTTAGAGTTGAAATTCACAAGCCATTGTGAACTCCAATCTATTACTGAAGTGAGTTCGGATTCAAGATCAGCTGCTTGTTCTAGGCGATCGAAAAGAGAAGACTTTTTGTCAAGACAGGAGTATAAAGTTGAGTCATCAGCAAAAAGAGCTACTTTAGATGAAAGGTTGTCAGGAAGATCGTTTATGTAGATAAGAAACAAAACAGTGCCCAGAATTGAACCTTGGGGAACCCCAGAAGTTACTGGAAATAAAGAAGAGTGTTGGCCTTCAAAGATGACTTTAATAAACCAGTTAGAAAGAAATGATTTGATAATGTCAAAAACTTTCCCAGAAACACCATATGAAGCAAGCTTATGGAGAAGACCAGCATGCCAAACTTTGTCGAAAGCTTTAGATATGTCGAGAGCAATAGCCCTAGCCTCACCGCCTCCATCTAATGCACGATAAAATCTTTCAGTTACAGCAGTTAGCAAGTCGGCCGTAGAGCGAGAGGATCGAAAACCGTATTGATTGTCTGACAGTAGTTTATTTGACTCAAGATGATATGTGAGAAATTTGTTGATCAAAGACTCAAAGACCTTGCTAATAACAGAAAGAAGACTGATCGGTCGATAATTGGAGGGGTCAGAATTTTCTCCAGAGTTTTTGAAGATTGGAACCACAGATGCCATTTTCCAACAAGCAGGAAAACAAGACTCAGTCAAACACTTGTTAAATAATTTAGAGAGAATTGAAGAAAGTTCTGGAGAACAGTTCTGCAAGACTGTGACAGGAATGTTGTCTGGACCACAAGCTGTAGACGAGTTTAATTAAGATATGACTTTAGCAACAGAAGCCGGAGTGATTTGAATGTCTAACAATGGGTCAACCTGTTTGACTGGAATGGAAGGAAGAGAATGTCCATAAGATTCAAGAGTGGAATTAGAAGAAAAGTTCTTTGCAAATAGTTCTGCCTTATCCTTGGGAGAGGTAATAAGATCAGTCCTCATTAACAAGGGTAGATCTAACATTCCATCTCTCATGAATGAGAGATGGAATGTTAGATCTACCCTTGTTAATAATGCTGTTGAAGATTTTCCAAAAGTCTTTAGAGCCTAACTTCTCCAATAAGATGCGAGATTTAGTGAACTGAGAATAACAGAGTTTAGCATCAGAAAGCACCTTTTTACATCGATTTCTTGCAATAATAAATAGCCGTTTGTTCTGAAGAGAGTTGTTCTTTTGAAAAAGATGAAAAAAATGATTACGATTGGATATAGCAGCCGCACAAGAAGGAGAAAACCATGGAGTAGAATGAGGCTTGACTTGAAACCGACGCAAAGGAATAAAAGTTTCCATTCCAGCCTGAATCCAGGAGGTTACGTAGGAAGCGCAGCTGAGAGAGAAAAAACATCAGCCCAAGGACCATCACGAAGAAAATCACGAAAGGAATCCCAGTCAGCTTTAGGGTAGTAGTCGGTGGTGCGATGATAAGGTGAGCCCAAAAAAGAAGTACGAGAAGAAAGATTTATAGAAATCATTGCATGGTCAGAACCACCTAAGGGAGAAAAGGGAGAAACTGAACATAAGCTAGGGTCAGAGACCAGACATAAGTCAAGGAGTGAAGGTAAATGATTAGGGTTGTCAGGAAAACAAGTCACAAAGTTAACTATCGTAGTAAGAGATTGAGAAACGCAGAAGTTAAAGTCTTTAGTGCCAGCAGGATTAGTGGTGTTAGAGCCAAGCTATTCAGTTTGATGGGGATTAAAATCACCAACATCAACAATATTAGCAGAGGGGTAAAGAGAGAGGGCATGGTCAATTTGATCAGAGATAACATCTAAGAGAGTGCAATCATGGGAAGAAGGAGAACAATAAAGAACAAAGAGAAAGGTGATAGAGTGAAGAGGTGCTAGGCGAAAGCACATAAAAGAATGGTCAAAGGATTCGAACCTGATTTCACGACAAATAGGGGAATTAATGCGTATGTATACCCCTAAACCTAGCATGTGACTATTTGAGTCTTTACGAATCAAAGGATAGTACCCATCATCACTGACATCTGAAGAAGGAATTGCAGAATTTAAATTTGTTTCACTAAGTGCAAGCAAGTCTGGTGAATTTTGCAGGAGGTAAGACTCAACTGATGGAAAGTTGCTTCGTAGACCGCGAATATTTGTAAAAGATATACTAAAATATTTAGGTGGTGGGGATGGTTTTTTAGGTTTTAAATTTTTGGTTACTTTGGTCATGACTTGGGTTTAATGAGAACTTGGCTCATTCATAGATAGAGCACAGCCTCCTAATCAATGAGCTATGCAGTTGTCTCAGTCCTGTTAATTAACCCTAAGCCGTGACATAGGGCTCCTTATGTGGCCTTGACAATGCACACCAAAAGCATTAACAGGGACACCATCCATGCGCAACATGGCACTGTTAATACTCAGATATTTTGCAGCTGTTAATGGAATCAGCCTCTCTGAGAGCTACCACAGAGTTCGGGAAACCTTACTACCAGCCGGCCTCAGAACCATTAAACTGAGTTTTAGAGCTGTACCCTCATATGGAGATAACAGGAAGAGTTGCATAGCCTTTATCAAGGAGGCATAAGCAAAATTCTATGAGTAGAGTCAAGGAGATCCAGCATTCATCATCCTAGGCAGGAAACAATGTAACACAGGTTACATCTACTAATAGATGAAGAAGGGGTTCGAGGCTGGTTAGCAGAATTTTTCTGCTTACTCCTAAAGTCTTTGCCTAGGAGGCAGTAGCTGAATGCAGTTAACATCTGCCCAAGATGAGTATTTTTATTGAGACACCATCTCTAGCCTTTACTCAACCAAGAGCCCAAGAGCCCCAAGGCAAGGGATGTTTAGCTGGATGCAGGTAACATCTGCCCAAGATGAGTGTTTTTATTGAGACACCATCTCTAGCCTTTACTCAACCAAGAGCCCCAAGGCAGGGGATGTTTAGCTGGATGCAATTAACATCTGTCCAAGATGAGTGTTTTTATCGAGACACCATCTCTAGCCTTTACTCAACCAATAGCCCCAAGGCAGGGGAATTTTTAGTCGGAGTTTATTTCTCCTAGCCTTTGCCTAAGAAGAGCACACTCTGCAAGGCAGCAGGGCTTGTGACAGGTGGTACTGAGTTACGTGATACCAGTAGCAAGATTGATCTCGATTATCCTGACCTGACCTGGAGTAGTTAAAAGGAGTTACTTCCCGCAACAGTACTTTGAGAAAACCAGGCATGATATTTTGGAAGTGCATGTTTTTCATTTTGGAAAAACACTGCATCTAACAAAATACAGGAGTCTAAGGTGAGTGTAGGTTTTGTAGTTGGAGTAAGTAGTTAGTTACTGAGCTCATGCTGCATTAGAGTATAAACAGAACACAAACAAACATAAATCAACTTACGGGTGAGTCAACACTGCGCCAGAGGTTCATACAGAACACAAACATACATAAAAAACATAAAGTAACTTACAGGTGAGCGAACACCGCGCCAGAGGCTCAGACAGAACACAAACATACATAAAAAAACATAAAAAACATAAACATAAACATAAAGTAACTTACGGGTGAGCGAACACCGCGCCAGAGGTTCAGACAGAACACAGACATACATAAAGAACATAAAGTAACTTACGGATGAGCGAACACCGCGCCAGAGGTTCAGACAGAACACAAACATACATATAACGTAGATTACAGGTGAGCTAATACAGTAACTAAGGCACCTCCAACTATATGTAGAAAAAAAAAAAAATTACTATAGGCATGATATAAGATAGTACTGATGACAGGAAGAACACTCCTTCCAGCTTTTGCTTAGAAAGCAAATCCTGCAAGGCAGCAGAACATGGAACAGGTTGTACTGGGTTACATGTTACCAGTAGCAGGATGATCATGAAGACCATACTCCTGACCTGAATTTTTTTTCCTGACCTGACCTTATTTTTGTTTAAAATATTTTTAAACAGAATATATAAAATTTTATTGACAAAATATTTTTTTTTTAAAACAATATTTATAGTTAAAACAAAAAACAGCTGAAAATGTCAAGGAGCTTGGTTGCTAATTTTGTGCAGCCCTGATTTTAAAAGTATTTTAAATGGTCAGGTTTAGTGTTTGGGATTAATTAAATGGAAACATTATAATTGCCTTATTTTACAAGCAAAACCTTATTCTTCTTTTTTTTTTATTTAAGCTAGACAAATTATAATTTTATAATTATAAGATTTTTAAGTTACTAATTGTTTTTTTTTATTTTTAACAAAAAAAAAAGAGAGAAAAATTTCTGTTAATTTTTTTTTCAGCTGCTGGTTTTTTTTTTAGCTTCAAGTTGGAGCTTTTATCAAGAGGAATGTAAAGTTAAAGGTTAGTTCTTTTACCACATTTTTCTTTAGAGTAACGCTATTCACTGGGTATAAACACTATTTACGGGGTTATTCAACATACGCTGTGCATTTATAGCTTATTTACTTTTTACATTTTGGTAAATGTGTTTTAGCTAATGCTTTTAGCTAACCTATAAGCTAATGCTTTGCACAGGTATCCTTTACATTGTTTTAATTGTGGAAGTGTAATACCTCTTTCGATCCAACTTCAAGTGACACTTATAACTTACTCACCCAGATAAAGTTTTTTTTTTTTTAAAGTTCAGTTTTGCCATTATCAAATAGTTTTTGATATTTTTTTAAAAAGTTTTTCCCTCTGAAGTTTAATATGATGTTATGTGACTTTTATCTCTTGATAAATATGCTTCCTAAATTCTTGAAATCTTCGTTTAAGTTAGAAATCAAGTCTTGATTGAGTCATGATCTCCAGGTAAATATCATTCATTTTCATTGTTTCTAATTATATACTGCACCACATAATTGGAGATCATAGAGTGCAGGTAATTAATTTTACAATTTTCTCTAATATCTTAATTTTAACTTATAACCATATTCTTTTCAACTGACGAATAATTTTTTATCTAGTAAATTAGAATTTTATTACTCTAAGAAAATTTTGTTGTATTATTATAAACGTTTTTAAATATCCTTTAAAGTGTATCCATAGTAACAGCTCCTCATTAAAGAATTTATTTTATGATGAATCAAAATAAGTAAATGTAGTTTTTATGTTAAATATTCTTCTATTCCTGAAATAGTAGTAATGATGGGGTTCTATTTATAAATTAATTTCTTTTATGTTTTTAAATGCTGCATTTACATTATTTATTAATATGTAAAAAGTATATATATATATATATATATATATATATATATATATACATTAAGTTTAATTTTACAATATTGATCATCACTCTAAATTTATTATAATCCTTAATCATTTACAATTCCAGAGTTCTTGTCATTTAACATTCACGGTTCATTTTTCTGATTCATTATTATCTTTAGGATTCATTATTATCATGGTATTATAGTTTCATTATTTGTCTAGATTTATTTACAGCAGTTATTGTTTTGGCATTTTAAATTCATTTTTATTCAGAATTTCATTCTCTTCTCGTTTATTCAGAATTTCATCCTCTTCTCATTCTGTTTCATCAAAATCAAAAGTAAGATTGGTTAATGAATATATGAGGCGAAGATGAAAGAATTCTTTTATTAATCAATAGTCTTATTAGTTCTATTGCTAGTTTTGTTGTAAATAAGAAAAAAATAATAAAAAACAATCACATGAAAAATAATTAAAAAATTTATCTTTATTTTTAAGTTAATAAGATTCTTAATATATCAAAAAAATTTTTTTTAGATTCTTGATGTATGTGCATCTTCTCTCAAAGATTTTGCTGGTATTTATAAAAGTATGTAAAAAAATGTTTTGATTTTTAGTTTAAAATTTTTAAAGTATTATATTGTTTATTTTTCATTTTTCTTTTTGTAAAATTTAAAAGATTTTGCAGAAACTTTTAAAATCTATAGAATTTGATCATTATTTTTATTATTATTATAAATATTATTGCTATTATTATAAAATTATAAATTTCGATTATTATTTTTGTTGTTATTATTTTTATTATTAATAATAATATATATTGTTATCATTACTATTGTTATTATTATTAATATGATGATTTTTATTACAAATTTAAATTAAAAATTATAAAAGAAGAAAATTTAATATTTAATCAAAAAAGAAAATCAATGTATTTAATTTTTTTATAATAGAAATATTACAAAATAAAATCACAATTAATTTATTTCAATTGAAGAAACTAATGAATGCTTAATGAATGGAGTTATTTTAGATATTTTACAGAATAAAATTTAATATATACAAGCTTTGAACTATATTCTTATACATATTTATAAATTTAGAAGCCATCATTGATTTCAAAAATAAATATTTTGAAAACAGAGCATCAGTAAAATACTTTGAACCTTACATGGTATGTTTTGTTAGTAACAATATGTTTGATTAAATTTATTTTATGCATAATTTTATAAGGTTATACATAAAGAGTTTTACATTGTTGAAAACATTTTAATGATTATTTTTAGTTTTGCTTATATTAATTACTTGAATAAAAATCCCTAACACGTCCCTGGTAGAAACGCATCTGCATTGTTCATCAAGGTTCGTTTTGAGTTTTTAGTTGAGAGAGAGATATAACCACAATTAAGTAGCCTCTTCGTGTGTAGTGGCCTTCTCGGACTTATTGAGGTGAATTAAAATTAAAAAAAAAATCTTGTTTAATCAATATTGTTCATACTCTGACAGATGCAAGTAGTTTTATAATCAACCTAAGCAGCCCAATAAGTTTTGCTAGTATCTGCCCAATGATTATAATATTGTTCTGTAAGGGAAAAAATTTTTAGGAACTAAGTTAGAGGAAACACAATTTTTTTAAATTATTAACTTTAAATTATTTAAATATTAAATATAAATCTAATTATTAGTTTTAAAATTAACTATTTGGTTTTAAATGTATTTATTGCTTGTTTCCCCGACAATAATTGCTTTATAATCATGGAGTCGAAACGATGTTTTAGTTAAGTTTAGTTTTTGTTTTTTTTGACCTATTTAAAATATTTTTAAAATGATTAAAAAAATTTACTAAAAAGTTTTAGTATTAAATCTATCTTTAAAAAGGAAAAAAAAAATTATCTATTATTAATTAAGTGATTTATTATTATTCAAGAAATTTACTTAAATCTTTTACTATTAAATCTATCTTTAAAAAGATAAAAAATATACCTGGTATTAAGTTAAAAAAAAAAAAATTATGCTATTTGAATAGATTTAGATTTAGTTTCTTTAACAAAATAATTTGTTGTTAGGATAATTTTGTTTAGTTATCACATTAAAAGTTATTTAAAAAATTTATTTCGAAGCATAAAAATTGTTTTAAATGACAAAAAAAAGAAGAATCTTATTTGTGCATTTAATTTTTTTGTATGGATGTAAATGTTTTAATTCCAACCATTTTGTAAAGGGGTCTTCAACCTATTTTAAGTAGATTTTTCTTTTAATATTTTTTTTAAATACAGAGAACCATAAGGTTGCTAATGAAAAAGATTATTAATGACTGTCATAAATATTTACTTATTATCTCTCTTGAGTTGGAGTTGTGTTGTTTTATTACTTGTGTGTATTTAATTACTACTACTACTACTACTACTACTACTACTACTACTACTACTACTACTACTACTACTACTACTACTACTACTACTACTACTACTACTACTACTTATATGTATATATATATATATATATATATATATATATATATATATATATATATATATATATATATATATATATATATATATATATATATATATATATTATATGATACTACCATTTATTCTTGTCATGATAAGAAGCCAACTCTCTCTGATTGCTTGGAGGAGGCATTTGAGCTTGAAAAAGGTTTCACTTCTGCAACAGCATGGGGCTAACAGTGGCTGGTAAACTTTAATTTAGATAAAACTAAATTTTTTTCAGCCAATTATTATTGCAGTAATTTAGATCTTCCTATATTTATGAACAGTAATATACTTGATGAGTCATCTACCCTTCTTCTTCTAGGATTAACTTTTACCTCTGATCTTTCTTGGAAACCATATATCAAATTCATTGCAAAAGTAGTTGCATCTCTTTATCGAGCTCGACACTTACTCCGAGTTCTATTCTCTATCTCTATAAATCTCAAATCCAGCCTTGTATTGAATACTGTTGCCATTTCTGGAGTGGATCTTCTAATGATGCTCTTTCTCTTTTAGACAAGGTGCAAAAACGCATTGTAAACATAGTTGAACCTGCTCTTGTAGTCAACCCTCAACCATTATCACATCGTCGTAAATTAAACAAAAGAAAATCACAGCATAAATCAGCAAAGAGCGTATACTTTTTTCAATTATCAAGAGAGTATTAACGGCAAAGAGTGTATACTTTATTTCAATTATCAAGGGAGTATTAATAGTTACTGGAAGAGAAAAGATGAAGATTGTAGAGCAAGATATTAATTGACAGATGACTGGAAAGATTGCAAATTATATAAATCAGGAAAGCAAGAGGAAGGAAGCGAATTCTAAAGAACTTTTTTGTGCTTCTCTTTCTCTTTTCTACAAATGCTTTAATGGACACTGCTCTAAAGAGCTAGCGTCTCTTGTATTATCTACTAAAATTCGCTCTTGTGTTACTCGTCATTCATTCAAGTCTCATTCTTTTTCTTTTACTGTTCCTAAGTGCTCCAAAAACTCTTATTTGTCTAGTTTTTTTCCTCAAACATCAGTTCAAACATTAGTCAACTTTCTCAAGTCAAAAGTTTCTCCGTGCAGCGGCCTTGTTTGTCAAGGTTTGTGTTTCGGAGTTATAGAGTTGAGAGAGGGTTATAGCCGCAAAATAAGTAGCCTCCTCGTCTGTAGTGGCCTTCTCGGCCTGAGGAGGTGAATTAAAAATGAAAAAAAAGTAAAAAAAAAAAGTTCTTTAGAATTGGCTTCCTTCCTCTTGCTTTCCTGATTTATATAATTTGCAATCTTTCCAGTCATCTGTCAATTGTTATCTTGCTCTACAATCTTCATCTTTTCTCTTCCAGTAACTATTAATACTCCCTTGATAATTGAAATAAAATATACACTCTTTGCCGTTAATACTCTCTTGATAAAGTATACGCTCTTTGCTGATTTATGCTGTGATTTTCTTTTGTTTAATTTACGTTAATTTCACTTTTGTGTTTAATATCATTATTGAAGTTACATAAACTGTCAAGAAAAACTTCCTAAACACAGTATCATTCAAGATGAGCCAACTAGATGGAATAGCACCTTCCACATGCTAAACCGTTTAATTGAACAAAAAGATGCGATTCTATTGGTAACGCCGCATTTCCCAAAAGTTGCTCAACAAAATATATAATTGTCAACCGAAGAATGGGACAGTTTAGTTTCTCTCGTTGCTGCTTTAAAAGTTTTTGAAGATGTCACGCTTACTGCAAGTGCATCGAAAGTAACCACGTCAGAAGGTATCCCAATAAAAATTGCAGTTAACATGTCACTTGATAGCATCAAGGACTACGGAAATTTCAAAGAATCTCTGTGTGAATCTTTGCATCGTTGTTACGAAGACTATGAGAACAAACCTATATATGCTTTGCAACATTACTAGACCCCAGATTTAAAAACAAGATTTTTAGGAACAGGTGGATGGCTGAGAAAACTGTTACTTTATTGGTCGGTGAGTTAAATGCACTGAACATAGATGAAGGTCTTGAAATTCAAGTTGAAAATTAAGAACGAATCACACCTGCTCCAGGTGCTGTCTAGTCATTATATAATCAACACAAATTCTGTAATAAGTATTGTATGTGCTTCTATTACATTATTGTTGTACTTTAATTATTGCAAAGTATTTAACTATATTTCTCACAAGTCACTAAGACATGTTTGTCTCTGGAGGAAATTCAAATTTCTTATTATGAAACAAAATGGTACAGAAATATTTAATGACGCCTTATGTACAGTGTTTTCGGAGCGGTTATTTAGTACTGCAGGGCTTATCTGCGACCGGAAAATAAGCCGGTTAACTCTGCAACGAGTGCAAATGCTTGTGTTTTTGAATAAAAAGCTGTCGTTTTTAAACTATCAATACTAATGGTAGTGACTTATGGAAATGCTGAAAATGCAATATTCTGTTCATCTGATCACTATCCATTACTTATGACTATATTGTTTGTTTTTTATTAATAATAAGATTATACAAACATTTTTTATATTATTTGTTATTTATTAATATGCAGGGCCGTAGGAACCAAAATTTTATTGGAGGGGGGACCAGGGTTCAGGGTTTTCAGGCAGTACTACCCCGAAATAGTTTTAAGGATCTTTTTTAGTCATTTTTTTAGTCAATTTCTTTAAAATTATTAATTGAAAAACTATTGGGGGTGGGGCAAATGCCTCTGCTACCCACCAGTTTGCTACAGGCCTGATATGATATTAGTTAAGTTGTTATTTTTTCACAAGGCTGACATGTTTTTAAAGTAGGAGGGAGGGGGAGTGGCACTTTCCCTTATTTTGTAAAAATATTTTTGAGGTTAATTTCTTGAAAAAAAAAGTTTTTGATGAAGAGGAGTAGGAAAAGCGTTAGAGACTCGGCGTTATTAGCTCTGTTTCACCTGTACATATAACTAACTTCAATGTTTTTATTTTTAAAGTCTGTGTAAGTATTAAATTAACTATAAGCACTATCAGTTAAATTAAAATAATAAAAAATAACAACAGAATCGCAATCAGTAAAGAATTGGAATGGCAATTGAGAATCGAAATTGGAATAGGAATCAGTATTTTTTGGAATCAATTCATTTCTAATAATAACCTTTTAAAATTTATTTTGTTGCTATTTATAATAAATGTATGTTTCAAAATATACATAGCAAGTTTTTCCTTTCTGAACTCTGTAAAAAAAATTTCAAAGAATCTTTAATTTTTTGCGATAACAGCCAAAAAATATTTAGTTTTAATAACGCATCTCTCTGCTTTTTTTTTTTTTTTATAATGTGTAATTAAAACAATACTTTATAAAAAAAAAAAGCAATCAATAATAACAATTAATAATAACAATTAAAAAAACAATTAATAATAACAATTAAAAAATTAATCAAATAAAATAAATGTTGAGTCGTTTAGGGCTACTAGAGGTTGGGTTGAGTTTTCAGTGGTGCAGCACTTTTTGGTGCAATAAAACTCAGCGCCTTTTACATCTACATTTTTTCCTTTTTTTTTTTGTCTGTCAATGTGTTGGATATGAAACATTTGTTTTAAAGCTGCTGCAAGTGATTGGGCTGATTGCAGTTGTTTTTCAACCTCTTTTTGAATTTCCTTTTGAATAGCTAGAGTTACTACAACATTGAAGGTTGTTTGTAGACAGGGTGACTTTTGAGGTGACTTAGGAGCTGATGTTATGTGACATGCTGATGCTAGATGTTGGTGGAGATTCAGAGGACAGTGGCTGAGGTAGTATAGTTCTTTGTACTAGTATTGGTGATGGTACTATCATAGATTTTGGTTGTTAAGATGATGAAGGCTCAGGTTCAGATGACAGTGTTTCAAATGTAATAGAAATTTGAAAATTTTCAAATGTAATAACAATTTGATTGATTTAATTGATGTTGAGTGGAAACAAGCCAGTATTCTGAAACCCAGTGACTATTTGGGTATGTGTAAAAACTTCATCAGAGCTAAAAAAAATCTTTGCAGGTGACTAAAACGTTCCCTTGATAAGTGCTGAACTTTGTCTTTACATAAAATTGTTGAAGTAATTTGCCCCAAACTCTTTTGAAATGACAATTAAAACCAACATCTAATGGCTGCAGAATATGTGACGAGTGAGCTGGTAAGCAAATTAACAAGATATTGTTTTCAATGCAAATAAGTACGACCCGATAAGTGACATGTGTCACATGTCCATCTATGACTAAAATATGATTACCTTAAATTAGATAACTATATTTAGATTGATGTAATCTTTTTTGAATGTAAAATTAGATAAATATAATTACATAACTAAAATTAGATTGAACTAATTACCTGGAATTTTCTTAATTGCGGGAATATAGTTAGTGAGCTATTGTAGCAATTGCCTCCAGATGGAGATGGTGTATATGGCATCATCTGTACCACTTAAACACCAATCTCTGTGCAGGCGGTTTTTTTTATTTAAAAATTAAAGAGATTTTGATTTAAAAAATAGATTTATTTATCACTTGAGATTTAATTAAAAAAAGCCACATTTAAGAAGTGAGCTATTGCTTCACTTATAATTAGCTTATTTCATTTAACCCCACAATTCTCCTTTATGTTTTTTATTTCTAGCTTTTTTTCTTGATCAGCAAAAAAAGTTATACCAGAAAACTTGTTAAGTTTAATAATATCAAATTTAACTTCCGAGAGTTTTAAGTTCATTTTTCAAAATAAAAAAAAAAAAATCTTATTACACATATGAAAACTTAAAAATTTATAACAAATTTTTTTTAATCAAAAATAAAATTTGATATCATCTTACTCAGAAAAGTATTCTCTACAACATGATTTAAAAATATTTTTAAAATGATTATCCAATAATTAAGAACAAAAGAATAAACATTGGTATAGTTATTTAATTCTACCCGCTATTTCATTTTACCCTGTTTTACTCTATTTAATAGTATTTGTAATCTACTATTATTTGTAATCTTCTATTACTTAAAATCTGCTACAAATTTAATTAATGTTGTTACGACTATTGAATAATTCAGCTGTTGACTAAATCAACTTATATATTTTATAAAGTTGACTAAAATCGAATAATACATTTTTGAAATTGACTTAAGTCAATTTAATTAAAGTATAGGAATAATTTTTTTTCCAAATAAATTGTAGTAAAAATAATAAATTTATATTTTATTTTTTAATATCAAAAATAATAAAGCAAAACAATATGAGAACAGTCACTTCAACAACATTTTGGTCTTTTTTTAATCTGCCCTTGTATTTAATACTGTTATCACTTTTGGGCTAGCTCTTCTAATGAAGCCCTTTCTTTTTTAGATATGACGTAAAAGATACATTAATAATGTATTTGGACCTACTTTAACTAATGATACAGGTCTTGGTTTAGAAATGTCTCAAGACTCATATTTAACTGTGTTGGTCTTGAAGCTTGGATTCTTGTTCTTGGTCTTGAAGCTTGGATTCTTGTTCTTGGTCTTGAAAGCCTGGTGTATTGGTCTTTTTTTCAACTGTTTTCTCGCTTTTTAACTCTTGCAATAACTTTTTTGTCATTACAGGTGAAAACATTTTACCCTTAAAATTTGAAATGCAATTTTTTTTGTTTGCATTCGTTTATGTATTCTATTCAGAGTTTTAAAACTTTTGAAGGAAAAATAAATCATATTCTCAAGGATGAGGTGGAAACAATTGCATAACCACACTCTTTGTCACACACTTTGTCACAATTCAAATGCAGAATTCAGTTTTATTGCCAATAATCAGGAATCCCATATTTATGTCAACATTTTAGATTATATATAATCTAAAATGTTGATTTAACTTTTTTCAGCAAAAAATTCATTCTTTTAGTTGCATTATCAGCAAAACATACTGGGTTTTTTATTTTTTTAATTTCGAAGTTGCATAATGAGGTCATGCGTTGTCAGGGGACTTTTTTTGTACATTGGTATTCTTAAAATACTAATATTTTATAAAATCAATAACTTTAAAACAAATACATGCCTAACTATATTTACCTATACCTATAAAATATTCTCATAAGTTCTAAACTTGCAAAAGTTTAGTTTAGATCTAAAGAAAATCCATTTCTTTAGGTATCAATTTGTAATAACTGCATCATAATTGCTGAGTTTTCTGAACAAATGAAGGTTAGTTTTTTTTTTTTTTATTGAGTCTTTTTTTAAATATTTTTATTTATTATTACAATGAGTTTATTTTATATATTTTTTAAAAAGAATCAACAACGTGCTGAGCTTGGAGAAGAAACTTTCAGTGAAACTCGTTTAGCTGCTTTTAACTTAGCAATAAATGCTTATAAAACTCTTTCTTTTGAAATTTGTGATATTTTATTAGACAGTGTTTTTGTGGATGTTGCAGTGTATTATCAAGATTTATTTACAAGAAAATGGTAAAAAAATTTAATTACTAATAAATTAATTTTATTTACTCTACATTAATAATTAAACTAATGATAACGTTTTTAATAAATTATGATAATTTTTTTATTTTTTATTTATTAACTGTTTATTAGGTTTCAATCTTTTTAATGTTTAGGCTAGGATCCCCTGTTGTTATAGCAACAGTGATAGCTACCCTAGAAGATTATTCTAATGATTATGTCCATCTTAAACACCTGTAAGTTAAATACGTTACACGTAACACCTGTAAGTTATGCAAAATATATTATTTTGGTTTTATATGTAGGTTTTGTTAGAAGACTGGTCTAATTGAATAATAAGTATCTTATTAGGGTGTTCCTGGAGGTTTGTTTTGTTTCAAATCTTGCCATCATAGGAACACATTTTAAAAGGGTAGTAGTCCCTATTAACATATTTTTACTGAAACCTGACTGTTATAGAAATGACAAAAATTTCTTAATTCATATACGTGCACTTTACTGCATGTGCGTGATATAAACTGTTAAATTTATAATCTAATAAACAATAAAAAAACTTGATTTTTGAAATATATTATTTATATATAAACTAAAGATGAAAATTTTTACATTTTAAAACTATTTATGATTGAGAAGGTTTAATGAAAGTTGAATTTTTGTGAAGTTTAGTGAAGTATTTTCATGTATATGAAACTAATGGTTAAAGTAAAAGGAAAGCATTTTATAAGGTTTACAAGTCAGATTTGTATAGGCATCAACCTGTCATACAAGTTTACTAATCATAAATTGTTATTTCTTCTTTTAGATTATTGTCTAGTTTGTTTTTAAAATTGCTCAAGGATGACGCATTTACAACATCATCTGGGAGGAAGTTCCAGAAGATGTTTATGACCATTATCAATTCTTGTAAAAGAATTTAAAATGTGACCTTAGTTTTCTGTTGTTTAATGATTGGAAAAGTATAATTTTAAAATAAAAATTTACAAAGTTAAAACCATTTTTTAACACTATATTTTAAGTAGTTTTTATTTATAAAATATCTGTTTGAAATAATAATATTTAAATATCTGTTTGAAATACTAATATAAGTTGGCTATCTAAATTGACATACGTTGGCCACCAGAAATGTTAACTTAAGTTATAAAGAATCAAAATGGAAGTTTAAATAGAAAATGGAAAATTAAATAGAAAATGTTTTCACAAATTGATTTTATTTATGATTTTGTTGTTGTTGTATTTTGTTTTTAACAAAATTTTCAAAAAAATTTACAAAAATGTTTAAATTTTTGTATCAATTCCTTGATAATTACACAAAAATGTTTTTTTTAATGGTTTTAAAGAATTGTAATAGTTTTCAGTAAATTTGATAATTAAATAACAGTTTATTTTATTTGTAAAAATTTATTTGTATAGTCTTTTATTAAACTTTAATTACTGGGTTTGTTTTTTTTCAGTGTGATTTTTGCTGTTTATTAATATTTGAGATCTTAGTAATGAAAAAATTGTACTTATAGTGTTTTTGAAGTTACATCAGACTTAATATAGACCTGTATCTCAGACATAATTTTATTGACCTATATCTCAGATATATTTTATAGTTATATCGAAGCTATTATAGACATACTAGCTGGTCAGACCCGTAAAATACGGGTCTTGGTAATTTTGTTCCATATCGTTGTATTATATACAATTATTATATATTTAAACATAATAATAAAATATACGTAAAAAAGTAAATCTACATAATCATTTTTTAAAAGTAAATTGAACTTTATAAAATCTAACCTGAATATTGCCACCAGACAATACCACTGTACTAAATAAATAGATTCATATAAAACACAATTCAATATCTAACATAAAATTATTCAAAACCAATTTAAATTAAAAAAAAACTTATTTAAAATAAGGTCATCTTTAGATATTATAAAACTACCAGCCTGTCAAGGCAGAATTTCAACAAATCACCTTTAAAACAGAGCATGTTTCGATAAGTAAAGCATCAAAAAATTAATCTTTAGTAACTTTAAAAACCGATTAAAAAGTTAAAAAAACACATACTATTTATAAATCAAAGTATAAACAATAATTGTATCGTTTATGATAATGATAATATAAGATTCAAAGATATTTCAGAAATTTATAAAAGTAAAAAAGGAAATACGAACAACTAACAGCGTGTACATCTATAATACCCCGTGCATTATCAGTTAAAGGAGTCTGAGTTGGCTTTACCAATATTTCAGTTCAGAATGTTTAACAGGGGCATTATAAAATAGCTGTAAAAATTTAAATTTCTTTATTACCTTAATTTTATGTATTTTAACTATTTATTGTTTTTAAAAATTATAAATTTTATGAAATTGTTTATTTTAAATATAATTTTTTTTTTTTTTTTTTTAATGTTAATTTAGTATATTTAATTATGTTTTTAATAAAAACTTTTTTTTAGGCCCCCTTACTGTTTCAAAAAATATCGCCGCATGGCAAGTTCAAATCATCAGCTTGCTTTTTTTTTAGAATATTTGTTATTTAAAATGCAAAAAAAGCAACTTTCTTTCGAAACAAACTTTTTTCTTTAAAAGCGTTTTACTTTGTATTTTAGAAAATCATAAAAGATTAAATTAAAAAAAAGCTGATGGTAGAAATCAAACCTGGACCTCCTACCTTAGAACCTTGCTAACTAACCACTCGGCTACGCTGACTCATTGATTATGAAAATTTTAAAACTATATAAAGTAATAAAAACTTTACCAAACAGAATTAAGTGTACAAATCAAATCTTAAGGACATAAAAGGCAATGCAATTTTCAAGTGAAAGTAATACTAAAAAGCTTGATATATGTTTTAGTATGTTTTTAACATTACATAAATTGAAGAATGTTAGATATTTGTGTAAGTTAGATATCAGCATACACTTTTGTTGACTTTTTTTATAAAAAAAAGTGCTGCTACTCTTTCTCACTTTCTCACTTATATACCTCAGTTGCAATGGCTGCCAAGAGTATTGTGACAAACACTCTCCAATGAGCATTAACATGTTCACTTTTATATAATATGATATCACAAACATATTTTATAGTTATATCAGAGCTATTATAGACCCATATCTCAGACATTTATAGTTATATTAGAGCTATTATAGGCTTATATCAAACATATTTTATAGTTTATTCAGACATACTTTAGGCCAGATATAAAAAAATGTTCATTTTTTCTACTCTAGTTATGAACCACATTGATTAAACTAATGAATATTTTTTAGAGCATTTCAATATATTATGAAACAAGCAGAAGATAGAATTATTTTGGAGTATGTACGAGCAGTGTTGTCAAGGTAATAAAAATGTATCCTTTTTTACTGTGTTATTTAATGATTCGTTAAATGGTTTTGTCATTTAAGTATATTTATTTTTTTATATACACATTAGGAGAATCACTTTTCGTAATCTTGATGAACGTAAAGATGCTGCTTCACAAATAAAAGAAGAAGCCAAAAAAATATCTGAAACTATAAGTCGGATTTCAAAAGTTGAAATTTCTCAAGATTCCCCTTGTTCAATACTTAATTTAATAGCTGAAGTACTACGTTTGAAAAGCACAGATATCGTGTCTCTGGAGATTTCTGTTAGTTTTTTACTTTTTATAACAACTATACAATAAAAACTAATTAGCTTATAAAAAATAAAAACTAATTAACTTATAAAAAATAAAAACTAATTAGCTTATAATTAATAAAAACTAATTAGCTTATAAAAAATAAAAACTAATTAGCTTATAAAAAATAAAAACTAATTAGCTTATAATTAATAAAAACTAATTAGCTTATAAAAAATAAAAACTAATTAGCTTATAATTAATAAAAACTAATTAGCTTATAAAAAATAAAAACTAATTAGCTTATAATTAATAAAAACTAATTAGCTTATAAAAAATAAAAACTAATTAGCTTATAATTAATAAAAACTAATTAGCTTATAAAAAATAAAAACTAATTAGCTTATAATTAATAAAAACTAATTAGCTTATAAAAAATAAAAAATAATTAGCTTATAATTAATAAAAACTAATTAGCTTATAAAAAATAAAAACTAATTAGCTTATAATTAATAAAAACTAATTAGCTTATAAAAAATAAAAAATAATTAGCTTATAAAATCAAAATCTGTAATAAAACTTTTTACAGTAAAAATGAAAGTCAAAAATAAAATTTTGAGTCAAATAAATCAATACAAAAAAAAATTTATGAATAAATTTCTTTACCAATAACAAATGAAATATTAGTAATAATAAGTTCACCATACTTATTTAACACACTAAATATATCAGCATTGACGTTCTAGATTTCTTGAAGTTACTATCTTCTCAATCTTATACTTTTTTCAAATTTCAATTTTTATTTTTTTGCACTTGTTGAAAACGATATTGGAATGACTGATAGGCATTGATAATGTCAATAGCTGGAATGTGCTACCAGCCTCTAAAGATAGCTTTAGAGCCTTGGCACTGTTATAGTGGGTCTTACATGCTTTTTTCTTAACAGCCATCTACATTAAATAGTCCAAAGGGTTCAAGTCCTAAATTGAAAGGAGCCACATTGATTTAAGAAAATCCTAGAAATAACTTTTGTCTGTAGAAGCTTAAATTATTCTTCTGAGTCAATTTTTTGGCTTTTTGGAGCAAATACTGGAACACCTCTTTCTTTCACTTCCAATGACACTCAGGATCTTCACCGAGGCTGTGTGTTTTATTTTAAAGGTATATTTGATGTGATCTGGAAATCTTCAACTTTATCAGTGCTAAGATACCTTGTATTTCGCTGATTTGTTACTATATTATATGATTTATTACTGATTTATTATATTTGTAACCTTAGTCCTCAACTTCAGGTTAAAGTCTTTCATTACTCTTTGTTTTCTAGAATTTGACACCTTAGGCTTCTTAACCAAGGTGTGGATACATCATATTGGCTCTTTCTTGACTTTTTGTTTGACCAATTAGTTTTTTTTTTGTTTTTTTTTTATTAGTACTTAAGTGTTTAATTGTCTTATAACATCTATCGATTTTTTACACAAAAAACTCCAGTTCCTGAGCACTTCAGTATTTAGAAACTGGAACTTCAGTGAAATTATTTTGATTGTGGTCTTACCCAACTGAAGAAAACTGACTGGACAAAATCAATGTGTCTCCATTTTTTATTGAGTATTCAAAAATTTGTGTTATTTGTTTTTATGGTTCAAAAAAAAAAATAGTTCCACAAATATCTAAAAGTTGTGTAGGGAACCTTGAAAAGTAGATCTCCTAAATTTTTTTAATATGGAAATAGTAAAACCTGTCATATATCAAAGCACAACACTCACCAGTAATTATTTTAACTTTTTCTGAAGAAGTCACAACCCTATCCCTAACTTCTTGTGTTTCTTCACAATATTTTTTTTTTCTTTTTAATTAAATTTTAATCAGATCAGAGTAGCCAGACTCATCAATGATGTAAATATTACATGCAGGAATCTTTTGCATTCCATCGCTATAAAACCATTCTGATTTATTTCCAATGTAAAACAGTTGATCCATGGTCTGATTAAAGCTCTATAACTCTTTTAATTGAAACAATTTCTTAGAAATAGAAAAATGTGAAGGTTTAAATTAAGTTTTCACAAAGGTACAACTTTTTTCTTTTTCTAAAAGTCAATTATTCTTTAAATGTTTTATTATGATCTTTGAGTTGTAAAGTTGAGTTTGTTGTTATCGATTTACTTATTGAAGTTGTAAAGTGTTGGTTGAGTTTGTTAGTTGATATCGATTCTATCATTTATTGATTATTTTCAAAAATATATCCATTTATTTAGTTAAATGACTGGATAAATAATTACACTTCATTTTGCAGACCATTTCATATAGCCTAAAACCCAACTCTATAAAATAAAAGTAACAATTTGCTAATTGTGTGCTTTTAATAAATTAAGACATTTTAATAAATATTTATTGGATATTTGATTTTAACAGAGTTAATAGCAAAATAATACAATCAAGTTGATCACATAAGTCTATATAACAAGCAAATGTTTCACTAAACAACAAGCTTTAACAGTTAAAGTTTAACATTGTGTTGAATTGTTTACCACAACAATTACCTATAAACTACTTTTTTAATCATATTGATGACTGACTAAATAAATACAAAGCAAAGTTGTTTCTGTACCAACAATCCTAACAAACGTGACAACTTTAAAATGAATTTTCAAATAAAATGTAAAGTTTTGTTTTTGCAACAAACATTTTAATCTAGGTAAAAAAATTCAAAAACCAAACACACAATTATATTAGTCGGTGACCATATTACTTGAATTTAATCCAATGCTAAAGATAATTAAGTTTTAATCAGCTAAAAAAATAGAATAATTACAACTAAAAATAAAGCTTTAGTAAACTTTGTATTTGTATTTATAAGTATGTGTTGTTTATCTATCACACATTGTGTGCTAAGTAATGTTTTTAGTAATTTTAAAGTTTTTACTTTCAATTTCTGTAGGGTTTGGCAACTAAGTATCCAGATTTTAGAGCTGATCATGCTTTAGCATTGCTTGCAGTTAGAGGAGATATGGGAAGGACAGAGTGTTTGCAGGTAATTACTAGTGTTATATATAAAGCACTGTCAGTATTGTTATTTCAACCAAAAAGTATCAATTTAAAGTACTAATTTTTGAATTTAAGGTTTTTGTCAAATTAATCTTGTCAAAGTTTTTTTATATGCCTTTCAAAATTATGCAATTTTTGTTCACAACATGCTTTAACCTAAGTTTAAACCCTTTTGTTAATGATTTAGTAAATCATCAACACACTTATTGCATTTTTTTAGTTTTTTATTGGTAGACGTTAAAAGTTTTGAATCTCAACTTCAGCAACTTTTTTCCTTGCCATACATTTTTTTATGTGATTAGAAATGTGAATGACCTCTATTTATTGCAACTTAATGGGAAACAAATAATCACTGGTACCAACTAGTCACTTATTTCTTAAATTAGTTTTTTAATGAAAGATTAATAACATTGCAAACATTTTTTTGTTAACTTTGATTGAACCTGGTTTAGAAAATTTTTTGTATTGCTCTTAAAGAACCTAAAGTTCTCAAATTCTCATTTAATTAAACATTGTAGTAATTTTTAGGAAGATATGGTACCAAACTTATTCTTTATGCTCCTTGATATTTTATGTTCGTGATAAAGTTTCTCAATTTCAAAAACTTTGTTTTCACAATAGATAGGTTCAAACAGGTATTACTTTTAAAAAACTCAAATACACAGAAAAAGATTGTGCTGTGTACAGAAAAGATTTAAAATAGTAGAAATATACTTTATTTACTTTCAAGTAATCAAGTTTCTCCCTCTATTGGTTGAAGCTTCCTTTATTGATCATACTTGGGAACAAGGTTGACCTGATGTTGTTTTGATGTTAGCTTAACGTACTGTGTCGGCTGAGTTATGTTGTCAGTCGTCATATTTTTATGAATTTTTTTGCACTCTACATATCATTAGCAATATTTAATATTTAATGGTTAAACATATTTTACAGTGTTGTAAGTATTATAAAGCATCAAAAAGTGTTATGTCAACCTTCTGGAAGTAATAATTTAAATAAAGTTGAAGTATATATGGTTCTAAATGAAAAACTCTAAAAATGAAATGTGTAGCATCATGGCCATCTATACAGTCCTTGTAAACGCATAAATTGGAGCCTGTGGCTGGGGGCCAATAGAAAATAACAACAACTGAGAAAAAGTTAAGTGTAACATAAATATTTGCTTGTAATAAAGTGTTTCCATTTAGCGTGAGTGAACTATGGCTAATCTATTTTAATAAATTAAAACCTATTCATATTCATCACAAGCTTATTACAAAGATAAAAAACATTACAAAGACAAAAAACTATATTTCTGAACTCTAAAACTTGGTCTATAAAAACAAAATTTAGAAAAACATTCCTCATCTATAAGATGCAAAATATTTTACAAAATCGCACAATTAATTATATAGTATATTTTTTTAATGCTGAAATTTCAAAAAAACTATAAATTGAAAATATATATATATATATATATATATATATATATATATATATATATATATATATATATATATATATATATATATATAGTAACAACTAAACTTGTAGCAATGTTTTTAAAATATTGCATAGATATATATTAAAATGCTAAATGTTTTTACCAAAATCACAAAAAAAAACACATAATATAAATAACATAAGAGTTGTCTTAAAGAAAAAAACACACACAATAGGTTTACTTTGAAAGCTTCAAAATCTTTTGTTTTGACTCTAGATGACCTTGGTGCATACAAATTAATATAATTTAAAAAATAAATGTTTGAAAGTAAAATAGAATGTTTCTTTTCCATATTAAAGTTAAAAAACTATGATGTTAACATTAAAATAATGCAGAGTGACTTTTGGCAGACATTAACAATTTCATAATAAGAATATAAGAAAATATGGTCCACTAACAAACATCATTTGGTTTTTTCAAATCTCCACGAATAATTTTAGCAAAATATTAGCCAAATTTTTCATAATGAAATTTAGCTTCTTTTTGCTCTTTAATTTGCACAATATATCCAGCTACTAATCCTGTTTTTGTATCTATTTGCACACTCTTTTCTAGCTCAGGCAAATTGTCAAATATATCAATAGCATTACTGCTAAGAAAGTATCCACATTTCTGGCTTATGCCCTTTTTTTGCAGATAAAAAAATCAATGTCTATACCGATATGGAGACTTTTTCAATGACTTGTTGCAGATTTTTAAAATTTTTAAAATTTTTAATGTGCCAAACAATTTTTCTAATGGGTCAGCTGTGAATTTTCCCAATATAAAATACACAAAAGAATTTCAAAAATTATGTAATGGCTACCAAACCACGAGTCGTATGAGATAAGGCTGCACCTGTGTCTCTTGTTAAATTAAATTGACTGCTGCCTACTTTACTAGTCATTTGTTCTGCCATTGTTGCAAGGCTAAGTTAAAATGATAGTCTAACATCTTCTGAAGTTGATATAACTACTCTATCTGTATCTTTATATCAAATATCAGCATACAGTCCTTTTGTAATGATAATTTTCTAGAACTTCACAAATATTTCAATAAAAATTATGGTGTAGTCGGCTTCTTTTATAATAATGTTAGATTTTAAAGCAGTAACAGTTTTATCACTGAAGACTTGTAGGCAAGTAGACACCTTTTGACTTTCGATAGGTTTAGGTGCAATATTGAGTTTAGACAATTTTACAATATTTTTTTTAAGTCTGAACAAACTTAAGATATTAGACCAACATGCATATTTATTTTCCCTATTATATTCATAATATAACTTTGGGCTTTTTTCGATTCAGTTATTATGAACAGATTTAAGTAGATGCAAATGTCATATAACAAAAACATATTGTCTTTGGTTAACCATGAATCAACACATTTAAACATTTTAAATAGTACTTAATATACACGATTTTTTTCACATATTATGGCAACGGGTATCCCTGCAGCACTCTAATACAAATTGAGTTTGTTCAAACAGAAATTTAGAATCAAGTTCACAAACTGCTAAAATTATGCAAAGATATTGAGGTCCTGCATAAAGTGACACTAATAGACCAAAGTTACCAACTAACCAGCAAATATATAACTTAAAACAGTAGTTGTTAAAGCCATTTTATTTACTGCTTTTCCGAAGATTTTCCAAAGTAAGAGATGATTTGATATAGACTTCGTCAATCAATAGCCAACACTTTTTTTACATTTCATTTTTAAGTTTTGAAAAAACTGAGTTTGAAAACTCTGTATTATTTATTGCAGAATCCAGTTTTGAAGTTTGCTATGTTAGGAGAGAGATACTCGGAAGTTCATAATCTTTCCTATTTTTATGTTTTATTCCAAAGTAAAAATCGTTCTTGATCTTAAGCATAAATTTGACAATGGAAGAGCTTTCTTCAAAGTCTGTTGATTGAATGATCAGTAACTTTTCACCAGTTACTGATCATTCAATCAATGTCTTTCGTAAACAACATCAAGTGTCTTTCGTAAACAACAGTATCTGGACTCATGGTGGTCACAGTCCTGGAATGTCCTGGGTTTTCGCGTGTCCTGGAATGTCCTGAAATGTCCTAGAACTTTTTTTTTCTGAGTCAAGTTAAAAAAATTACTAATAATATTGAAGAAATATTAAATTTTTTATTCGAAAAAAAATTTTTATATAAATGGTTTGAATTTAATTTTAAATAAGAGAGTAGTAATAATATAATAATATAATATTCTATTCTATAATTCAATCAATATGAAAAAGTATAACATAAAGATAATTGATAATATTCATTTAATAAGATATAAAATGTCCTGGAAAACGCAACAAAATGTCCTGGAAATGTCCTGGAATTTAACTTTTAAAATTTTGTGGCCACCATGTGGACAGGTATATTGTCTTGTGGTATAGCATTCACTTAACGAGTATATTCTTCTTTGTCATAAGGAAGCCGGAAAATTTTTTCCTTATTTTTCTTTCTTTTCTTGAAATTACCATTACAGTTTGTCACACAGCATTTTTTTGAAGCGTTTTTTGTATCTATAAACTAGATAATAGTTGTACTTTAATTAAAAATTAGTAAAGACATCGTTTGTAATTATTAAACTAAATAACTTTAGAATATCGTTGGCCCCAGGCCCCTATATACGCGTTTACGAGGCCTGTTTGTACAGTATTTTTTGTTAAAGAAATGAGTTTTATGTATCTTAATTAATAAGTAATATTTAAAAGAATTTGGATTTTAATAATATAACTATTAATTTTTAGCTAATTAGCGATCTGAAGATTAAAGAAAACGAATCTTCAACATCAAAAGATGGTATATTTGGTCGGGTCATACCAGCAGGCTCTGTTCTTGAATCTCTCGGATCTAAATTTAAATAAATCATGTTTATATAAAGCAATTATTTTTTTAATTATTTTTAATTTAATACTATTTTATTAAGAAAAAAATTTTTAGATTTTTTTTGTTTATTTTTATCTAATTATTTTCCTGCTATTGAGAATAGGTCTCAATCAATCAATTCATATATTCTGAAATAGTTGTCACATTCACGGAAGTTTACAAATAGTATATATACTAATCTTAAGTAAAAACCTTGCAAATAAAAGCTAATAAATATATTGATTAATGCAAATAGTAATACTAATCATCCACAGCAGTAACAAAACGACCATTAAAAGTTGAAGGAGTAAAAATACTAATAATGATAATAATAAAAGTTGTAGTTGTAACAATAATAACAATACAATGATAAAAGTAAAATGATTATAATAAAAATATAATGACAGAAATAAAAATAATTACAATAATCCATGGCCTACTTGAATTACACGGCCTGATTTGTTGCATTTTCCGTAAAAAATTAAGAGGCCAGATTTTTTACGGCTCAAGTATAAAAACTTCATTTTTGTTATTGTAGAGTTTTTGTTAACTGATTGCCTGCTTCAGTTTATTCCAATAACAAAGAATACTGAAATAGGCTTTTAGATATATTAACACAACTTACTACTAAAAATAATCTTATACATTGCTAAAACTACTCACAATTCTCCATTGGAAATAATTTTAAAGGTTTGTAATTTTGTATTTAATATAATTGCAATTGTTAAGCAGAAAACATAAACTTTTCTTCAAAATATTTACACTGCAAAACAAGGTTTTCCAATGTAAATACTTTATTATGCTGCATGTCTCAAACATACAGTAATTAAAATGCAACAAATCAGGCCATTTATTTACAGTAGGCAAGAAATATCAGGCATACCAACTGTTTTGGAGTCAATAGCTGTTGATAAATTTCTAATTTTTTTCATTGCCAAATAAATGCTTATCATATTTCTTCATTTAAATGATTTCGCAGTGGTAAAAATTACAAATTAAAAAATTATAATATATTAGAAAAATCATTGACAAAAATTTGGTATCAAGAGATTATTTGCTTCTTGTGGATAAGATGTACTTCCAAAAAGCAGCCCAATGCCAAAGTGGTAAACGATTTGATAAAGATTGAGAAAATAATCTTTTTAAAAAAGTTTTTTGTTTTAGGACTTCAAAAATTTATTCTTATGTTTTGAAATCCTCATCTAAAGTTTACATAACTGGTTTATGTTTGAAAAAAGAAATGATCAGTATATTACCTCAATGCAGCAATCTGATTTCAAGATAAGAGCTGTTGTTATCGATAACCATTCTACGATTGTTAACGCATTTTTGTAGTTTAATAAAGCATATACTGGAGATGGAAAAGTATTAATTTATCATTTAGTTTAGAAAAGGAGTGTTTAAAACATACTTGTTATTCTCGTTTTTTTGTTTTTTTCTTCTTGTTGAAGTTACTGCTGATTACATTACAGGGAATATATTTCTTAAAGTTTATTAAGAGATCAATTATTAAACAGGCAAGAAAAAGCAATAAAAATTAATTATCAAGTCACATATTTTGGAAACAACAAACAAGTTGTCAACATTGAAAATATTTGACGAAACAACTGCAGCTGTAATTTAGAGTTATTTTTCTCAAAGAAATAACGCAGCACAATTTTTATCATTGTTTTATAAGTTATTTATCATACTTAATTCAAAGCAGAAACTTAATTCATCCAATCAAACTCGGCAGTGTTGCTTTGAAAGGTGATAACAAACCCACACTTTATAGAGAAATTGCAAATTGTACTGAAATTTGATCAAAATAAAATTTGATAAATACTTTAAATTAACCAAACAAACTTCTTGTGCTCTAATTACAACACTAAAAGTAATTGTATTTCTTATGCATGATTTCCTTGAAGAAGGTTTTACATTTGTTTATAGTTCCAATTTACAAAGTGATCCTTTAAAGCTAGGTTTTAGTAAGTATAGTTAAATGACCAGTAGTAGACTTTTTGTGAGTCTTTTAGAAATATGCATAAGTAAAAAGATTTTGGCAGATTTTTCCAGAAAATGTTTATCAGAATTTTGATAATCTTTAAAAAATGTTATGCAAAATATTTCTTAGTTGCCTACATAAATACTACTGTCAGCTTTCTGAAGATAGCACAGATATATATACTAAAACAAGTAATAATGGTAAAAATTAACAAAAAGATTTTAATGTAAAACTTATGATCAATAAACGTTACTTTATAAAGAGAAGAACCTATATATTCAATTCAACCTCTGTCTAATTTTATTTGTCATCTTTTTAGTATTTTATGTTATTTCTCTAATGAAACATTGAAGTCATTCTTTTTCAATTAAAAATTTGTGAAACAAATTTTAAAGATTTGATCTAGGAGTTTTGATTTTACAAATAAAAATCACCAAAAATGGGGAATCAAATATAGATTTCGTATTGTTAACAATATTTTTTATAATAAAAAATTACATATTCATTGAGAAAAGATCAAGTAAAAGAATTCTAAAAAAGACAAAGACAAAATAAACATTTCTAACAAAAATTTCTTATTTTAATTTTAATTATAAAAAATACAAAAGTACAAATATTTTTTTTGTTCAATAGAGAGTTTTAGGCAATCTTAGCAACATGAAAGATTATTTTTAGTAGCATGTTGGTATGCGTTGATATAGTTATCTGAAAGCCTATTTCAGTATTCTGTGTTGTTGGAATAAACTGAAGCAGGCAATCAGTTAACAGAAAATCCAGCACAAAATAATGTAAGTACTCAAAGAAAACCTAACTATTATTGAACCATTTTAATAAAATAAAATAAAACAATAATAGAGCAAACAAGACTCTTAACCATAACAAAAAAGAAGCTTTTATACTAGAGCCGTAAAAAAACTGGCCTCGATATTTTTTACGGAAAATGCAACAAATCAGGCCGTATAATTTAAGTAGGCCATGCAATAATTATATTAAAAAAAAATAGTAATTTAATATAAGTCACATGATTACATACATATACAGACACATACAAATACACACATACACGTTTACGTTCACAAGTACATATAAACACATATACTTATTTCCCCCTGTATTCAATAAAGGTATGTATAGATTAAATGTATACAAACGTAATATAGACTCATATATGTAGATTATTACTATTATTATTTCTTTTATAAATAAATACAATATCTAGGTATTTATGAGTTCTTACAAAAACCCGCAAAAGATTTCTTTAGCCGTATCAACTTTGGGTGCAAAATTTGCAGCTTACGCGAGTTCCTACGATTTCTAACAATAGTTCTTACTGAAAATACGATCTAAGAGGATGATCAGACAATGTGGCAACTTTTTTTATTAATCTGAGGCAAATGCCTTCAAGATGTTTTTCTGGTTGATTGGAGCATGGGCGTTTGTTGCATAAAACAGAAGCTCGTTTTACTATGGTAGACAGTTTCATAAGTTGAGTGCGAGAGATATCATAGAACGCCGGCCAAGCGTAAACCATATGCGAAAAAACTAATGCAAGATATGTTTTCCATGTTAAATCATTAGGAATACCATATGATACCTGGCGATGGATAGCCGACATTTCGGCGCAACATTTCTGATGAACGATTTTGAAGTGAGAGTCACATTTAAGGTCATTTTGTAAAGTCCCTTCAAGAAGTTTTATAGTAGACTGAGTTTCTAACTTACTGCCAGCGACATTTATTGGCAACCCCTTGTCACCCTCTAAGGAAAAATCGATCAATTCATATATGCTACACACAAATACACGTATATACACACACGTACATATACATACACATACATATACACACATAGATACATATACGCACATTTAATAATATTACATATGTATATATTATATACACCATGTGTTGGTGTATATTCGCATACACACATGTATATATATATACACATATATATATATATATATACACATATACATATATATGTGTATATATATATATATATATATATATATATATATATACACATATATATGTATATGTGTATATATATATATATATATATATATATATATATATATATATATATATATATATATATATATATATATATATATATATATATATATATATATATATATATATATATATATATATATATATATATATATATATATATATATATATATATATATATATATATATATATATATATATATATATATATATATATATATATATATATATATATACAGTCTTGGAATAAAGTTTAAGACCACTTGCGAAAAACTGAAAATTTAATGAAAAAATTATTACAGTATAAAAAATAATTGAGAAAGTATTTTTTGATTATTTAATAACAATTAGGAAATTGTGTTAACTAGCTATGGTTGCCAAATAAAAACTTATACACGCTCAATTTTATTTTAAGCACCAAAGTATAACATTTATGCGTGGTGGACTTAAACTTTTTTTCCAAGACTATATATATATATATATATATATATATATATATATATATATATATATATATATATATATATATATATATATATATATATATATATATATATATATATATATATATATATATATATATATATATATATATATATATATATATATTATGTTTTAACAATTATCAAAAGCTATTAAATATTTGTTGAAGGTAAAATAGGAGCGCCAAGAGTAATAACATTGCGTGTAGTAATCAATAAAAAATGAAGTAATCAATAGGAGCGCCAAGAGTAATAACATTGCGTGGGATAAATAAATTAATAAATAGATCATTTTTATCTATTTTGCTGTACCATACAAAATTGAGTATATAATGATAATAAAATTAATAATAATAACAATAATAATAAAACAACTAAAACAACTGTATTTTGAGAGAAAAAAAAGGCTATAATTTAACGTATTATATATTTTTAATTAAATAGGTTTGACATCTAACATAAACAAATCCATTTACATTTAAAAAATTAGTTTTTAATCAATATTTTCTGGCATAATGCAACTTTAAACTTAAA